CGTCCTGGTCGAGGATGCATCGTCCATATCTTTACTTTGGGACAGATCCTTGAACTGCGCTACTCCTTCAGACGTTCTACGTTGATCGCCTCCCTGGATTTGAAAGCCGCTTTTGATTCTGCCGATCGTCAGCAACTATCAGTGTCTGGTGGTCAAAGGTGTTTTTTCCAAATTTCTCTCCCTTATGAGGGCACTGTATGCGAACTCCTGTGGGCGCGTAGTAGTATACGGGAAGCTCTCGCTTGAGTTTACCACGGCCAGTGGTGTAAGACAAAGCTGCCTTCTTTCCCCGTTCCTCTCCAACTTTATTACTGATAAGCTGCTTGCAGTTCCTCTGCCTGCTTCTGAAACCTTGGAAGTCGAAATGCTTTCGGGACATTCCCTCACAAACATTGAGTATGCAGACGATCTTGCTCTCCTTGGTTCGGATCCTTCTCAAATGCAAACGGTTGTAAATGACCTAAATGACTCTGCCGTATGGTTTGTCATGCGCTTCACACCTGAAAAGTGCGAAGTACTGCTACAAGACCGGGTGGGATCAAACCCATACCTCATGCTTGCAAGTGAACCAATCGACGTGGTAAATAAATTTGCTCACCTGGGCAGCTGTATAGGTTCCGGTAGGCTGGCTGGAGGTGAGATTATTTCTCGAATCGGAAAGGCCGGGCAGCTTATGCCAACCTCCGACACCTATGGCACCGACGTGACGTGAGTTTGTGTATCAAAGGAAGAGTTTGCACTGTGATGGTGCGACCTATACTGCTTTGTGCATCAGAGACATGATCCCCCACGCGCAGAGGACATACGGAAAATGTCAGTGTTTTAAAATCGGTGCCTCCGAAGCATTGGTCAGGTCTGGTGGAGACATCGGATTAGTAAAGCTGAGGTACGCCAGATGGTCGTAGGAAGAGGGAACTCTCCCGCGATAGGTGAATTACTCACGCTTCATAGGATGCGCTGGGTTGGACATGTACTCCACATGCCAGAAGACCGTCTGCTTCACAGAGCTCTTTTTTCCCAGCCCTGTACTGAGTGGAAGCGACCGAGAGGTGGACAGTGTATGACCTGGCAACGAAGTACGAAAACACTAACCAGGAAACTTAGTCGGGTTGGCCACTGCCGACTTCTGGATGGGGACTCGAATCACCAGTGGTTAGTGACATTGACGGAAATGGTCCAATCGCGCAATCAGTGGCGCTCGTGCATCAAAGCCATCGCCTTCAATCTGGAATCATAGGAATTTTTTGTATTCCCACGGTCACCGTGAAAAGCTGATTGAGGTAATGCTTTTTAGCTTCGAGGCGAGGCAATCCAGATGCCTATATAGGCATAAGCGGAGTCTACGAATTGGCGTACTTCAACGAAGATGGCCTTGGCATTTATTTACTCATCTGCTTCTTTACGGCTGATCACTGCGGAAGGACAAGCCGGCTCCATGAGTATATCCACAGTTTCACATGATTTTGACACACTGTCCCCAGTAACACGTGGGATATCTCCAGGTTTAATTCCTAATCATTGGCGTAGCCAGATGCCTTCTGCAAGTTAACAACAAACCTGGAGTGAATGGTTGACTAGCTCCCCTATCACCGACGTTCAATCAGGTGAGTTGGCTTATTCGCTCAACTCGTCATCGCTTTTGCCAGCAAAGTCCCGGTGTTCAGAAATCTCCGACCGGGGGCCAAGGTGAACTGGAATATGCAGGTGACATTGTTACGCTCTTGAAAGAGAGCAGGAGGCGCAAGCAACACCAAAAATGTTGACAAAGGTCGCCCAGTCCTTCGGCATGGTTTTGCGTTTACAGAGTCATACTGTGGAACGTACGATTTTTGAACATACCTCTAAGAATTCAACGAGTTTCACTGGAAGTTATGAAACCCCGTAGTATCCCGGAAGTTTTTTAGCTCCGAAACACGAATTCAACACATGAATCTCGAGGGTCTGAATTGCGTTCACCAACGTGTGTCACTTGTGGCATCAAAAATGGCAGATCACCGAGTCCCAAAGGACGCTGGTTTCAGAACACTGTGGAGGCTGTATTGTTGTACAGTTGATAAACTTTGCCACTTGAGGTGGAGCGTCTTGAGGTCTTTGAACACTTATTTCCCAGAAATCTAGCTAGAGTCTGCTGAAACAAGCGGATTTACAATTCGGTGATCACGAAATGAGTCTTCGGTGAGGCATCCGATATTCCACTCAGGGAATGCGCCCAGCACTGTAAGCTAAAGTGGCTAGGCCATGTGTACCGCATGCCGAGTTACTGCCTAGATAAGAAAGCGTTCAGCTGTAGCACCCTTCCGGTGCCTAACTGCCATGCCACCCGAAGGAGGGCTGGGATACTGCCAGGTTGCCCAAGCCTAGACAGGGGAAGTCGAGTGGCGGAGGTCGGATTCGAACCGCGGACCTTCAGGTTAGTAATCCGCGCTCTAACCACTTCGGCCATCTCGCCCCCCTCGGCCATCTCGAGTTACTGCCTGATGGGAAGAGTATTGGTTTCAGGGCCTAGTGCTGAGTGGTGGAAAACTAGAAGGCAGAAGCGGATAAAGGGTGCTACGAAATGTTTTGGCGCTGTTGTTGCTTTTACGTTCTACGTTACCCTGCCCGTGCTAGGCTGGAGACACTGAACGGTATGGCTAAACAATGTCGTGGCGTTCATGCTATCAGCTTCTTTTCAGATTGACTGAGCATTGAAGGTGCAGGCACCTCAGATGTTTGTGGTAGTCTAGCCCTAAGTCCACTTCCCTACCCCGTCTCTTTCTTTCTTACATTAAGAGGTTCACATGTTTGTACGGCAGTGAAGCACCAGTGTTCTCCTGTGTTGCTGTCAGTGGTGGTGACGATGAGCTAGCTTTCCTAGGTGGCCAACGAGTAAACTGCCAGCCTGTCTGACATCCGTTTTCCCAACGTGAGCTGTTTACTGACAGGTCTCGTGGGAACATTTCAGCGCGGTAAAACGAACGGCCTCCTTCGGTTCTTGCTGTCTCCGACCACATCGAGGCATTTGAAGGCTTTGAAAGCAATCAAGGAAAAAAAACGCAAATTACAGATGTTTTCACAAATTGGGCACTGCTTCGCAAAAGACAACTTTATCAAAACCAATGCTGCCGTTTTTTCAACGCCGATTCCAGCTACTTCTGATGCCTTCGTTTCCGCTGAACTTTCCAACACAGTTTCATACAAGTTTTCACTCACAAGTGAAATGAACTGTTGGTAACAACTCTCGTTCTCGGAAAAAATTACCGGCACCCACGATCGTGTTATTTGGATGCAAAATTTCCAGTAAACAGCAGAATCTTCGAACTTATTTCGTTTTGGAGGCCTCTGTTCCCCACTCTGGACGCATTGGTGGTTGCTTAATACTGAGCACCAATAAGCAGATAAATGGTAGAATAGCAAGCCCGTATGCACTGGGAACATACTGACGAAGAGGAATTCTAAGATGTTGTATGTTGTACGATCTCACGAATCCATCAGTTTACCTTGCAAGTGGTGGTTATCTGTCCGGAAATAATCAACAGTGAAAATGAGCTGAATCGACCCAGCTGGGTTATCGCAATGGGAATCAGCGCCATCCATTACACGGGAATGTCCGCATTGGGTTCTCTTAAGTAAGTCAGGTGTTTGGATAATTCAAAACAAGATCAGTTTGGTTTGGGGACCACTTATTAATGACGTGAATGACTATGGGTAGACTAGTTCAATATTTCTTCCACGAAAGCACGATTTGGGTCGGTTTTCATGAATATTATCTCTCTTTGGTAACCATAGGGCTATCCTACTTCTTATGTTTCATGTAAGTTAATATACCGTTGTTTGGATTTTCCTCTTGTATGGAGACGAAGACGGTCTCTGGCGTTCAGTGTTCCTTTCGTTCCAAATCCAGACACAATCCCCCTTCAGCAAATGCGAAACGCTGCGGTGACCATAAGAGACACTCGAACGGTTTATGGTTACTTATCTGAGCTGACCGGAATACCTTCACTATGTGCTCATCAAAATATGCTGTCGCTGTTGGTTCAGGAAGGTATTTCCGTAGTACATGAGCTGGTGACCAGTTTCCTTATTGTCATGGGTCGGTTGCTACAACACCATGTAGCCTGTATTGAAACCCGATGACGTATATGCTTGTCGCTTCCCTTACTAAAACGACCCTGTTGGCCTGGGTACTTGGCAATCAATTGGTTGTCGTTGTATTTTTCTGCAATCGAGTGTTGCTTAGATGTCAGGCCGTGAATTCTATCGCGGATTTGGGAGTTCACGCGTGCTTTCCTTCCCATTCCTAATTTTATGTATTTTTACTACTTGTAGTTTTGCAACCGTTGTATATAACAAGAAGACAGACGAACTCTATGTGATCCATAAGAAACCACAATTTCTTGGCCCGTGTTTCGCCGGTAAGAAGACATATTTCCGCTATTTTTTATTGGAGAAATTCTGGAACAGAGTCAGAGCCCGCTCCAGTGACGGATACCCCATTACCGGATGTGAGTACTTTGGGAACATTTGGGAATATTGTGTCTTTTCGTATCTTCAACGGTCATGTCTCTTTCTGCGTGTCCAACTCGTGTGTTTGTGTGTGTATGTTCCTCTCCCATGCACCCTGTTTCTAATAAACTGGGTCAGTTGCTTGGGAACTGAAGTAGTCTCGAAATATGCGCACGCAGCGTGCGCAAGCTAGTCTTTCAAGGATGAAGTCATCAAGTCAAGCGGTGGACAATTCATGCTGTTCGTGGAAGTACCGTCTCTTATGGTCAGTAGATTCACTTACCCTGATTCGGGCTTCCGGCCTTTTAATCAGACAAGTGCGGTTCTGGAAGTCGCCTCCAGTGTTCATCTAACAAACATCGCTCCACTATGCTAGAGAGGAGAATATTGTTAGCTCAGATAGCATAGCTGGTCCTTGGTTTGTTCGCTGAGCTGGGCAATTTGATTGCAAACGTTTCATCACCAATCGAGGTGACATCATTTGTGCGTTGTTAGGGAGCGTAGTGGAGCGTACTGATGGGTTGGTGGTTGTGCGTTGAGAAGTGTCGTGTGTGTTAATATACATGCTGCTAGCTGGGGTTGACCTTCGATCACGATTGGTTGTTCTGTTATCCTGTGTCCCGATTGATCGATGACCACGTGGCCTTTGAGCCTGGCCTCCACTGCCCTCGTGCTCTGATCGCTGCTGGAGTGACCTCTGTCGTTGATTCCTGTGTTCCGGCTTGTAAACTTTGTTGATCCAACTCCAAGCAGTTCCGTACTTCGTAGTTCGTGAATCCGATATTTGGCTCTCCTTGAGTATTCTGGTGGATGAGTTGTCTTTTGCACGTAGTGGTGCGTAAATTGGGTCCAATTCAATGTATCGGTTGATCGAATTAGCCGTGGAGTATCATGCCTTCAGAAATTCCCTTCCGTGTCTCATGTCTCCATATTCCATAATTTTCACGTTTTCCATATTGAATTCGGTCTTCGTTTATGGATATCAAGGATAGGGAGTCATGTCTCCTGACGGCCGTGCTGTGTTCCTTTATTCATGTGCATAATTTCCTCCCAGTTTGTCCAACGTAGGATTTGTTGCGGTTGTTCCAGTTGATTTGGTATACCACATTGTTCTTAGTTTTTTCTTGGCTGTCCTTCGGCCTGGAGATCAGTTTCCTCAACGTCGCATTCAGTTTGTGGGCCTCGACGACTCCTTTTTGGACCAACAATCTGGTTGTGAATTCAGATATATTCTGGATGTAAGGTAGAACTACCCGTATGATCGCTTGTTCTCGTTGTTGCTGTTACGGAGACGTTTTCCTCTTCAAGCTTCTCTTGATAGAACTCCTTGGACATCGATTGTTCTGGAATACTCTGAATAGATAATTTTCTTCCTTCCGTAATTTGGTCGTGCTGCAGTGTGTCTCCGCTCTCTTGAACAGGGTTTGGACGCAGCTCTTCTTGTGGTTCATTGGATGATTACTCTTGTAGTTGAGCATTTGATCCGTGTGTGCCTCTTTCCGGTCCAAAAATGGTAGTCGATTTTTTCTCTCCAGTTCGATTGTGAACTTGATATCTTCAAACGTGGTATTGAGCAGTTCGTGCGTCTTGTGTAATGTATCCCGTTTCATGATGACAAAGATGTCATCTACGCAGTGTATCCATAGTCTTGGATTGACGATTTGTAATACCGCGCGCTCTAATTTGTGCAAAACCGCCTCAGCGATAGATCCTTGTATTGGAGATCTCATTCGGGAGTCCTTTTCAACTGTTGATATATGTGCCCGTCAAAGCTAAAGTATGTATGCATGCAAAAGTCCAACAGCCTGCATATACTTTCGAGTTTCGTGCTTTCTTACGTGTTTGGATTATTCTGAAACAGTTCCAATACGGTTGTAGTTGATTGAAGTGAACAGTGATGTGACATCAAATAAAAGCATGATTTCGTCTTCCATACTGATGTTCCATAGTCTGTGTAGAAATTCGCCAGCATTGTTGATCCAAAAAATCAAGTTTTTTAATCTTCTCCAATAGGTCTTTTGCTAATTTGTACGATGGAGTTCCAGGGAGTAAAACGATTGGTCGAAGTGGAGTTCCTTTTTTGCGCACCTTTGGTAGTCCGTAGAACTGTGCAATGTTGGTGCCATCGGCTTTCAGTTTCCATCCTTCCTGGCTGGTTATCTCGTCTGTTGCTTGCAATTGCTTGAGCGTTGTGTTGATTCAATTGATGAGGTTTGAACTTGCTTTATGATTGATTGACCTGTAGGTTGTCGTGTCATTTAGTAGTTATTGCATTCATTAATATCTGTTATTACCACGGATTTCGCGTAAACTGCACGAACCTGTGCTGGCAAATGATACATAATATATACTATTCACCATTGGCCCGACCAAGGCTATCAGTTTGAAGCTCCCGGCCATGGACCGTCCTTCTCGTAGCTTAGTTGGATTTTACGTTGGGCTTCGAGCGTTTCGTTCACATCACCCTAGCGCAAACATGTTCACCTGTCGAGACGTAAAAATTCGAATGAGTCTAGCTTGCGCTGGTGGAGTAGTGGTAGTATGCTCGCCTCGCATGTCAGGTGTGCGGAGATCAAACCCCGCCATGGGCATTGGATATGCCTTACTTATGAGCTCTAATAAATGCGAAACTTAAATTTAGTGCTTCCCCCCCCTGCGGACTCGGACTCTCCGGAGTGATTGCTTCAGGACAGGAAGACGATTGTTCAAACGAGAGTTTTGTATGCATTCTACAAGATCCCGCAACAAACAACACAATTAATTTGTGCCAAATTTACCCGGTACCCGTTTTTCAGACAGTTTTCCTTACCTTCTGAACCTACTGATTGTCTTCTGCGCCGTTATCTCAGTATACCGCCGATTCACACTGTCTAACCGCCCGTATCTGTACGTTTGTATATCGTTTGGTACTTACTCGTTATTGCCTATAGAAAGCCCTGCTGCCCCACTTTCCCCTTGTTCTGCTCCTGCCGATTGCGCTACTGTTGAGTGTAGGTTCTACTCAATTCATGATGTTAACTAACCCATTTGTTCTCAATACAGCATCTACTACCGTCATCCGTCTGTTCCTACTGCCTAGTGAACACGAACTGCGTGTAGTCCGATAGCTCCAATCGTTTTGTAGTATCCTTGGATGCCCGGATCTTACACACTGATTCATTTTCCTTCTTTCTATCGTGAGTACAACTTTATGAGTTGTCGACCTTACTCCTGGTGCTTCATTATTTCCATTACAGCGTGCAGCACTGACAAATGCATTTGGTTCGGCTAGACGACAGCGAATTTTAAAGGAACGTGAGCGCCATGCCGATCATCGTGTGGCCGTTTCCGATGCAACCATCATCACAAAGGCCATGCATGGTCAAAAGCGACTGAAGCAGGAAGCTTCTGAGTCACAGAACGTCGAATCAGGTTAGTGTTTTCGACCAGTCGGACATTAGGCGGTCGTACACCCACCCAGATTGCTGGAAAGCTAGCACCAGCCTAATAGCTATGTAGCTTGCACAACAGCGGCTCAGCGTAGACAAAGAAATCTACTTGCATGGGGAGACATACTTTATAGCAAGTTCAGCACGGCAGTGAGGATTTGAGGTTTTTAACACAATTACAATCTCGAATGCAGAGGACAAATGCCGGGCGCTTCAGAAATAATTAGCAGATGATTGCTTCGGGCTTCAACCACTCGAATGTCACATGGTCTCTACAGGAAAAAAGACTGGAATTGTTGAGGGGTCCAGGAAGCAACAGTATCATTCCTCTAGTGAATAAGTGCATTTTAGTTGGTTCATTAATTTCACCAATCGTTGCCAGGATTTGTCTTCATTCACGTTGCTGGTTCTTGATGAGGTCATTTTTCGTACGGACTATAGTGTCCGCTGTCTGAAACGCCGCGTTTACGATAAGTATAATCAAAGGTCTGTTTGATTGAGACAGACCCTCGTACTTCTTTCCCTGCTTCAGTTTCATAAGGTTATTTCGGAACTGCAAATCAGTGTTTGATAGAGTATTTATGTGCTGGGGCGACGAGCAACATAGTTTGCAGCCAGTGTGTTGAAAGTATCAACTGTACGTGGCCAGATCTTTCATAAGTAGCTTATGAATGCTGTTTTTTGAAAGTTGTCTGCCTTTCTGGGTAACGAATGGACGTTCGGTTGGTGTGCATATGTTCATTACGGTTCCTCACATCTATTGTGTTCATGCGGATCGCAAACTGGTCTTACCTACTCGTTCTAAAGATTCCTGCGGCTCATTCTCCAAATTTTTTCCCATCTAATCTTCACTGACTGTTGAAGCACGGTATTGTTGCTGCTTGAGCGTTTCGCACACACCTAGGGAGATTCTCCCACGGACACGTGTCCGCTTATTCACAGGACCTTTCTGCTAGTTAATCAGTTACACAGTGCTTTTTGTGGCACTAACTAAGCAACGCACACTTCATTATTAATGCCTCTCGATAGCTGCATTTTTTTCGCCTGTGTTTTGTCAGGTTATCCGTATGAATCTGGGCCTTGATACAAGCGAAGCTATTTATAACTGGATGACATAGACTCTCGTAACCCAGGCCCCCTTCACACATCAGCATACAGGCCTATTACAACTTGAAGCGTAACTGGCTTTTCCGGACCGCCTAAACGATATCTCAGTCTTTAGTTCACTGCTTTTTTTGGCTTTGATCCTCAGGCTGCTTTCTGTTTCTACTCGACAAAGTTCCTTGAAGCTGCGAAAGTACAACTGTAGTTTGTTGCAGGCGAGGGTGCATAAACCGAATTTTTATAATTTGGAAGGTGCCGTGAGGATCGCACCATTGGTGGAAACCGTAATGACTTCTGGCACACAGTGGTATTTTATCTGAATTCTTGTGTCTTATAAAGGCACTGCACACTAGCTTCCACGGTTCGATGTGAGTCTACAATGAACTTTCCTCTCAGAGAGCCACATGCAGTGTCGCTTAACAGGACCACCTTTCTGTGCTTCCTGGAGCTTTCCAAACTCCTTTTAGCCCTTTAGCGGCCAGCCACTTAGCTAATAGGTGCTGACGATAGTGCGCTAGGCTCTTCGAAAATATTAACCTTTGTAAGCCCGAGTAATTTGAGATCGATTCTTGTTCTTAATTTGTGAGTGCTTGCTATAAGACTCGAAGCACACCCCGTGTTTTCAGAAGGCTGGTTCGACCGTAGCACTCTGCCGTCTGTATGCATGTAACCTGACTAAAACACGAGGGTTAAGATACTGTCAAGTTGCCTAGCTCTAGGTAGGAACAATTTACGGTTTAGGTTTACTGGAAGCTCATGGAAGCCGGACCCCCAAGCCCTTAGCCGTCTCGAGGTGGGCACCCGATGTTGTTGGCATCTACCTTAGTAATAACGTAAGTCCCAGTTAGCTGGAGAAAAATGACTAGGGAACGGTAGAATTGCCTCTAGCAAGCTCCGATACCTGTGACGCTGGTGAACACAGGTTTGTGGATCGAAATCAGAAGTATGCTCGACAGTCAAATGACAAACGCTTTGGGTAGGGTTATGTTTTGGGATCGGAAAGACCTCCACATCTTGTATTTGACTACTGAACGCATTCTCATATCCGAACACGTCGCTTGTGGAAGAACGTGTTCACTACTTGACCATCCTAGGAAGGATATGGTATGTGAAACCAAGATATTCCGTGAGTGTTGTTCGATTTATGTCTCCGAAGTCCAGGATGGTCTTTATTTCTTGCATTCGCTTTACGTTTACAGGTGTTTCTTTACAGCATCAGGATAGTGTTTAATCTCGGTTATTTCTCTGCTTGTCTAGGGACAGCTGATGAGCGGACGCGCCTGTTACCACCATTTAACGCGGACGCATCACATCCCAAAGATGTTTATCCGTTTGAAAAGCTCATCCCCTCCCGCATTTTGGAAGCGCTTGCTGCAGAGTCAGAAACGCTTGCCACAGCACCCGTGTCATCCTATCACACTTGGTCCCGAGAAGGAACATACCCGAGATGTGTACTTGATCGACTTCTTCAACTATCCTCGCTGAGTAATTCAAACAAACCAGAGAAAGCTTCCGAAAACCGAATGAAGATCGCCCAGTGTCTTGCCTATCTCAGTCATATGCTTGCGCTGTTCCGATTACCTGGTTACGATATCCAGCGAAAACAACCTTTGCCTGACACGCCATCCGCAGTGACTAAGCATTTGTTGGACGAATTCACGGCCCTAGTGAACCGCGGCGAATCTGGTCGTCTAAAAATCCGGTAGGTTAGTGCACGGTTGTTTGAAAGAGTCCCACTCACTTGGACTTGGAGACAGATTTTCAAGTGGATTTCACTTGTCTCTTAAGCTAGTACGCTTGCAGGAGTTTTTTGGAGTTTTGTCTCCTTGTCCACATCCTAATTACAGCTTTTTCTGTCCCGTAAATCACGACTTATCAGTGTTCATAACATGCATCTATCAACAATTTAACTATTTACTAAGAATGAGCCACATCCTGTGCTTAGTTGGAGCCATTTCTAGAATCATTTTTCCCCATCCGGCTTCATATGTACTTGTCTGTATCAGAGGAAGCAGGAGCCGCTGTGATTTAATAGATGGCTGCACGCTTCACTGAAGGTGTCCCTGAATTTCTGTGCGGATGCCCTGGGCTAGAGTTTGAGGAAACGTAGAATTCCCATTAACAGCTAGTAGTTGAAATATGTGTATTTCTCGCTCAGTTGATGGTGAGGCTTCCGTCCACCTGTCTCGTTCACTTGGAGGTCTTAGAATTTCACCTTTGTGCTTTGTATTTTCTGGAATTTGGCCTGTCCGTTTGCAATCACCCTGGATCTGACTCATCGAGCCAATCATAGTTGGTTTTTTCTATCAAGAAATTGACCTATTATACCAGCGACTGGTTTGTGCGTGATGTCCCAGTTTATTCAAGTTTAATTTGACTAATGGGTTCTTATTGGGTGTCACAGCATGCTCTCTATCGAGCCCCTTCGTCCATCTTCGTGTGTCTCAAGCCTAGACATTTTACGACCTATATGCTAACCTGGGCTGGCATCAGCCAAGCGCTTTTTAGTAGTACTCATCTTAGGGATTATTATTTTCTGAGGATAATCGGTTTCTGACGACGTGCGACGTTACACCTCTTTATAACATCCCACCTTTTTATTCAGCACATTAGAAAGTTAGTCCATCTACAATCTTTAAGTATTCACTTGCATGGAAAACCACTCACTTCGATCTATTTTAGCTTTTGTCTGATTCCCTTCCCATCCAAACACATTCCCTACCTGTTTTTATCCACTTTCGCTTGATTTCCAGCACTATGTCGCCACTGCTACGGGACCGACTGATATATCACATGCTCGCCTTAATACTCCACTGTGACAACTTCAAGACCGTCATTGATGACCTTACAATTGACTTCCAAATGAGCTCTGACGTGTAAGCCTATTGTTTTTTCAAAAATGCATTCCAGTATTTGACTGATTTGCGTGAACCTCCTCCTTGAATCTGTTACCATCAAACCAGCTGGGATGTCGGGGATTCATAGTCTGATGCGTAACTTTGTTGGAATAATTGCTGCTCCTGGACGCACGATTGGAGTAGTGTTCCCGCCACTGGCGTACGCACCTAACTGCTTGTACAACATCCGTCTATTAGTGCTTCGTTATTAAGATGGGGGGGGGTCTGTGGCATGCAAATCAAGCTGTCATGTTGGATGGGACAGGTTTAGTAGCTGGAGGACCGCTCTGTCCATTCTTGTGGTTTAAATGCGTAACCTATATACTACTGGCAATCAGACCAGTAACAAGTGATAAACACACCGCAACCAAGTCTGAATCTTTCTGACCTATCTACCCCAGTACACACCGACAAGCAAAGTGTGTACTACTGGTGTCCTCGGTAGTGGTAGCATATCTCATCGTATTCTAGTCTCATTGCATGAGGAAACGCCCTTTCAAGCGAACAGGTGATTTCAGTATAGGATACCTTTGGAGGAAACGTCGACGTTGGTCCTTGCAATTGATGATCTAGTCCTATCAGTAGACCGTCACCGTAAAACGGACGATGCAAAAAGCAGGTAACAAACTATTTCCCGGAACATTTTGGTGTGAAGTAATCAGTTTTAGGCTGCACTGTCCGCCGAAAAATGCAGACGGTCCGCTCATTGATGGATGCTGGGACTAAATCACATGAATCAACGTACACTTGAAAGGTCTTTTATACTTTTGTTTTAAGTCAGCTAGTAGGCAGGTTATAGATGCAGCTGAATATGCAGTGCGATCGAGGGAGCAAGCAGACGCTGCATGCTGCCACGTCATATGGTCTCTGGATGGGAAACCGCAGATTAATTGGTATTATGGAAGTACACCCGCCTCGGAACTGTGGGTTAACTTGGTGAGTGAGTAATCCACGAAAAGTTTCTGGTCAGGTTTTAGACAGCATGGTGACAGCAAGTCGCGAACACGCAGTATACAATGATCATTGGGTTATGAGAAATTACATAGCCTTTGATCGGTTTTGGCGTTGCACTTTAGATCTGGGCTAATTAGTCTTGACTGACATCCACGTATCACACTTCATGTATCATCTCGGCTGATCGAAGCCAATTTTCACACATTCATACGCCTCGTGTCCACTGTGCTATTCCTGGTGTGATGTCCAATGGTTCCCATTACCTCAGTAATCTTTCTTTGTAATGTGAATCATAGATTCCGCTTGAGAACTTTTATGTTACCAAGACTTGGATTTATAAGGAAGTCACAGGGATCATCAAGATGAATTCTATCAGATGTAAAACAGCTGGATGGCGCTTTCAGCGGGTATAACAATACTGGTGCAAGCAGCTTTCTAGGAAGTTGTCAAGCTGGGCCTGCGATCGGGCGATAGAAAGACAGCGTTTCCTGATATTCCTTCACCTTAGTGGACAGCGTATAATGGACCACTGACCATTATCCGTTCGGCAATTTCATCACAAGTAGAGGGGGGGTTTATGGATGTCCCGGCAGCGTTAATGGACAACCGATCTCTAATATTATTGCCATACAACTGTTTATTCATCAGAGGTGGCTCATTTGCAGGTAATCCGCTCTTCAATCACAAACTAGGTGTGTGTCAAGTGGCATAAAACTATTCCATCCTGTACTCCTATATCCAGGTCGTATATATGTTATAGAGTATTCTGTGCACTATGTTTATATATGCTGCATATGTAATACGACCTCCACTAGTATATATATATATATATATATATATATATATATATATATATATATATATATATATATATATATATATATATATATATATATATATATATATATATATATATATATATATATATATATATATATATATATATATATATATATATATATATATATATATATATATATATATATATATATATATATATATATATATATATATATATATATATATATATATATATATATATATATATATATATATATATATATATATATATATATATATATATATATATATATATATATATATATATATATATATATATATATATATATATATATATATATATATATATATATATATATATATATATATATATATATATATATATATATATATATATATATATATATATATATATATATATATATATATATATAGCTCAATACAGAATCAAATCAGGTTTTATGAAAGTGAACTTTTGCTAGAGTTACTTTAGACGTGTTAGGTTCTCAGTACTATTCAAATCAAGGTTCGAAACACTAGTGCATCATCGCAACCGTTGGTGCTTGCACAACTACCGTGTCACAGCATCACATTTCCCATTAGTCGATATGTATGACTTCATTTAGCCTAATGAGCACTCTCCATGCGGTTTCCCCTTATTTCCAGATTAAAGCGGTATTTCGTCTACATGGGTTGCCATGTCAACAAAGAGGACATGAAGTTGGGAACAGACGTTACAACGCGACAACGAGCTTCACTGAAGACACCTGTAAAATTCCCTCTTCCTTCCCTAAACAAAATCCGCAAACAAACTATTTTGGGCTGATTTGGTCCATAAAATTGTTACAGTCTGAGGGTAAAGGACTTTGTTACTTCGAGTTATTCTTGGGCTTTGTGAGACTAGTTGTTTATGCTGACCTCAGGGACATACTGCATCACAAGGTTTGTAAAGCGTGTGTTCTATTGTACCAGCCCCTCTTGATGAGGTCAACTATTATCCATACTCCGTGAACGACATGTATCATTTTTAAACTGCTGCAACGGTACACGAGGCCATTAATGTGTGAGTTCTAACTTCCAAGAGGCACGCATACGATCAATATTTGTAACACAGCCCATCTTGTAAGGCTGTCATATCTCCGTCGCACGATCCATGAGTGTCTTGTTACCTATCGTGTTAGCTTCTATGATCCCCCAAACGCTTGACATATGTTGTTAGAAGGCACAATTCGGTTTACCAATAGGTTTTCATAACGTGATATAAAAAGACAAGAGAAAAGCCATATTTAATAAGAATAAAATGCCAGTCAAGCAACCATCAGACGAATGTGTTTTCTGCGTATGCATCCGAAAGTTTGGGCTTCCAACCACTACCGGAATGTGCTTTTGATTTTGTTCCGTCCGTCCCGTCTGTCGGTTCTTCTAACTCGTAGTGTTCATATGATACATTGTCTGGCTCCGTGGGACTTAGGGCATATTCAGCGGGCCGAAACGTTGGATACGGGAACTGAGAGGTCACCACGCTGAGCGGACTGTAGAACGATGCAGATGGGCCTCGAATTGCCGCTGTAGGTATTCTGGTCTCTGGGTTGACGGATACACACTGGGGTCTGTGGTATGCGTACGGAGCGAACTGGGCGTGATCTGGCCTATGCTGTCCATTGTAATACATTTCGGTGAGGGTTGTGTTCAGTTTCGAGGGGTGGCATAATGGATTTTCTGGATTCATTGACGGGTATGCACATAATGCTGTGTAGCCGACTGTAATAATAAATTGGAAAAGAATATTATATATATATATATATATATATATATATATATGATTGGATGTACAGGGGCGGGC